TGAATGATGCTTTGATTTGTTTTCCTTTCTGGCATGCATCACAAATTTGATTTTTCTTGAACACAGTGTTGGGTAGTCCTTCGACTAACTTCTTTTTGGCAAGCTTGTTGATGGTTTTGAAATTCAAATGATTTAGCCTTCTGTGCCATTCCCAACTAGCTTCATTCGAATTATTTGCCATCAAGCATACAGAATCTTTTGTTGTACTCCAATCTACAACATACATGTTTTTCTTTCTTGATCCGGCTAGTACAACTTCTTTCGTGGATTCGTCTTTGACTTGACATTTGCCTTTGTAGAATTCTACGAGATATCCTTTGTCGCAAAATTGACTTGTACTAAACAAGTTAAATTTTAATCCTTCGACATAAGATACGTCATCAATTCGTAGACCATTTTTCACAATTGCGCCGGTTCCTTTTGTCATTCCATATCGATCGTTTCCACCGAAAACTACTTTTGGTCCTTCGATACTTTTGAACTCAACTAGACTAGCTTTATTGCCGGTCATATGTCGAGAGCATCCGCTATCGAAATACCAAATTTCCTGCAAAAAAGATTAATTTCTTTTAGGTACCCATACTTGTTTGGGTCCTTTTGTGTTAGTAATTTTTGGCATCCAAATCCACCTAGATACCACTGATCCAAGAGTAGGTGATTTGTAACCATTAAAAACTTTATAATCATAACGCACTTTCAAATAATGATTCGGTGCGGGTTGGGAAGCTGATAGTTGCTTGATTCTATGAAATAGAGCAAATCTGGACTTGGTCCATGGTTTGATTTCAAGCGACCAATCTTCTTCTGAGGGATATAATCTCCCAGCCCCAATTCTCGGAATTCTTCCCATATTCCTATGAGGTTTTATTGCACTAGACTCGTTGGTTCTCCTTTGAGATACAAATTTTTGCCTTTTAAAATTTTGTTGTCTTGCCATGATATCATTGTGTTGATTCGGCCTTGCAACAATTTTCTGGGCATTAATTTTGTTTCCAACTCCTTGTCTCATTGTGCTATGTTGACTTTTCACAAATTTTACCACTGGAACTTTATTGATTAAAGTAGTAGTAGAATTAGTCAACTTTTGAGGGGTTTTAGAACATGATGGATCGTAGCCAAGTCCGGCTTTATCTCCAGCGGGTTTTTGCATGTTTACCATTTTATCCATTATTTTGGATGAATGCGTAAATGATGCGATTACTTCCCGAAGGTTATGTTCTCTAACCTCTCTAGCTTTGCACTCTTCTTGAAGTCGAACATTTTCGGCTTTCAAATTACTCATTTCATTTAGAGCATTTAGCAATTTTTGTGACATCTCTTCCTTTTCAAGAATTAACGTATTATTGCGCTCTTTGATTTGAGTATGAGTGGCCATGACTTTTTGACAATCTTCCATAAGACTTTGAAAAGATTTTTGAGTCTCGAAAGAGGTGTCAACGGAACTAAACGAGCTAAATGAACTAGAAGATACCTCTTCGTCGGTTTCGCGCGCCATATAGCATTCCTCATGTTCGGATGTTTTGCCCACTAGACATAGTAGCGCCGTATCTTCTTGAGATGAATCACTCTCGTCACTAGATGATTCTTCGGATTCACTTGCTTCTAACGGATCGCTTATTAGTGCCTTCCGTTTGTCCTTTTTGAATTTCTTCTCTTTCGACTTGTACTCAACCTGTGGAGAGTTAGAAGTATTCGAATTTTTGTTCACTTTGGGATGTGGACATTCAGCCATAAAATGTCCAGGCTTTCTACAATTGTAACACACATTTGTGTTATCTTCGACCGGTTCCCTTCTTGATCTTCTATTTTCTCGAAAAGAATTTCCTTGTGGTGATCCTTTGTTCTTTCGCATGAACTTCTTGAATTTCCTAACAAATAAGGAAAATTGTTCGTCAGATAAAAAATCATTATTTACTACTGACCTTGATGTAGACGGTTGTTCGGCCATTAATGCGGATGTTCGTTCATCGCATTCTTCTTCAACTCGTGTCTTCATCTCGAACTCATACGCCTTTAGATCACTAAAGAGTTTATCCGTAGATAATGTCCTTAGATCTCTATGATCGCGCATTGCGGTCACCTTCATATCCCAATTTGTAGGTAGTCCGCGTAACACTTTGAGCGATATTTCCTTCTGGGTAATGGTCTTTCCCAGATCCGTGATTTCTCCAAGTATTTTGATCAATCGAGCTTCCATGTCGGTGATGCTTTCGTTCGGTAGCATTTTGAAATCTTCGAACCTTTTCATGGCAATGGTTAGCTTGTTGTCTTTTTCTTGTTCATCGCCTTCACCGATACTAATGAGAGTATCCCATATTTCTTTTGCCGTGGTGCACTTTCGAATTTTTGGGAATATGGTGTCATCGACGGTTTTGAACAAAATGTCCTTGGCAATATTGTCCAAGTTATTTCGTCCTCTATCTTCCTTTGTCCACTCCATTTTTGGCTTTGGAATATATCGTGGAGCATTTGGATCACGTGGGGTAGCGGTATTAGCTTCCATAATTTGGATAGGACCATTTGTGATGACTTCCCACATTTCATCATTTAAAGCAGATAAGTGCACCTGCATACGTATTTTCCAATCATCAAATTTATCAAGTGAGAAAAGCAAATTTTGAGTAAGAACCATATCTCTCTTCATCTTGAAGTTTTCGAGATCTGTCTAGCAGTCAAGAAATGACTCAAATAGACAACCGCTCTGATACCACTTGTTGGTCCCGAAAGGGTGGTGAGAAGTCTAGAGGGGGGGTGAATAGACTTCTCTAACTTTTTCAAACTACTTCTGCAAACAACACTTTGTAACTTCAACTCTAAGTAACAAGCATAAACAAGTATAACAACTTAGAGTGTGCACAGCGGAATTGTAACGGCAAAGTGTTATGTTTTAAATTGTGTCGTGCTCAAGAGAGATTTTATACATGCATCACGTTAGAAACACTTAGTATAGATGTAGGATGATGTATTTAAAATTTCACTTGCATGCAAACGAGGGAACTATCAAACCCAGACAGATAAAGATACGCAATAAACCGTAACGGGTTAGTTCACAAATAATATAGGCATGCACGAAATATATATGAGCAGTAAGTAAATAGAGAGAGAGATTTATAGTGGTTCAGAGGTGGTGTAATCCTCCTAGTCCACTCTTCTCCTTTCACTTCAAGGAGGAAATTCACTATTCTTCAATCACCCAGATACAATAGTGAATAAGTGCCCAACGACACTTCTCCGAGTGCTTCGCACAAAGCTACACTCCACCAAGGTTTTTCGCAAGCTCCTCTTGTTACTCCGCCTTCCCGAGTACTTCGCACCAAGCTGTACTCCTACACCACGAGAACTACGCACAAAGCTACGCTCTCACCGGGTTTTCACAAGCTCCCCTTGTTACTATGCCCGTCACAACCGAGTGCTACGCACAAAGCTACACTCCAACTGGGTTTTTCACTCTCCCTAGTTACTCTACCCCTTTTCTACACTCAGTAGAAGATTTACAATGAAATACAAAGATTTTTCTCTCACTCAGACTTGAATTTGATCGTGTATAGCTCAATATATCACTTGATGATTGATTGGATAATTTTCTTTGTTGTTCAAGTGTTTTCTGAATCTCTCCAAGTGTTGTTGTGTCTTCAAGTCTGCTTGGGCATTTTATAGCAGATGAAAGCTATTTGCCCGTTGATCAACTTTCGATCTCGATCGTCCATTTTGAATTGTAGTTGATCAATTAATTTTGCCAACTTGGTCTGCAAAAATCATTTCGCCGTCTGTCAGAAGATTTTGAGAAATCTTGCCGTTGCTCTCCTTTAATCTGACAAAGCTTTTCTTTGGAATGGGTAGCCTCCAAATTTGAATTTTCTCTGGCATGACTTTTGTTGAATTATTGATCTGTTGTGCCAAGTTGATCAAATAATTTATCTGCTGATTCTTGCTTGAGTAATAAAAAGATCTCCTTCGTATATCAGCTTCTTCTTCTCCTTCGACTTCTTCTGCAGAAACAGAGCTTCAAAATAATATTTCTGTCTAATTCTATCATGATGTCATAGCTACCTTGTATCATGGACTATATATCACGTTCCACCTTGTATCATGGACCATATATATCATGTTCCATTTCATATCATGAGCTAGCTATCATGTTCCACCTTGTATCATGGACCATATATATCATGTTCCATTTCATATCATGTTCTAGCTATCACGTTCCACCTTGTATCATGGACCATATATATCATGGACCATTTCATAAGATCGCTTCGGGTGGGAATCAAACTGTGGACCATTTGCTTTGCTTGACAAGGCTTCTTCCATCTCGGCTGGGTATCCAATTGATACAATCCAAGACATAAATTCTTTTGACTTATCTCCTCCACGTGTTCTCCACTAGCTTTATCACATTGTGATGTCATTACCCGATAATTCTCAACTATCACGATAAAAATTGTTCTTTTATGATAGTATAACCTGATATTACTATCATGATGAAATATCTCCTTATATTGCTACTTCACGATAGCAATTCATCTTTACACCAAAATTGCTTCTAGTGAGAATTGAATTGTAGATCATCTCGCATTAATCATACTTCAACAAGTCTTCTACCATCTCATCCATCTCAACCTTTGGTAACTTGATGCTTCATAAATCTATTAAGCTATGATTCCGCTTTCATTTATTCTTCTTTCAAACTGCTTTTTCGTAGACTTCATGCAGGCTTCATGGCAGTGGTGCACTATACTTGGTGAACTAGAACTGACTCAAATAAAATAAAATTGGGGTCTACAAAATACATTTGGCTCATCAAAACTTATACAATATATTCCTAACAAGGTAGAACAGCGCATTCAAGGTTTGCAATACCAATTGCTGTTAATGAAGATTCTATTTGCAATATCAGTCAAAGCAGTCCGTTAGCACACTTGATAATGCAAAGTCGGTTGATCATTTGGGATGAGGCACCAATGATGCATAAATTTTGCTTTGAAGCTTTGGACCGAACTATGCGAGATTTACTGCGTGTTCAAAATCCAAGAAGTTTTGAAATGACATTTGGTGGGAAAACTGTTGTGTTGGGTGGAGACTTCGGACAAATTTTACCGGTAATTCCAAAGGGGACCAGGCAAGATATAGTTGGTGCAAGTATAAATTCATCATATCTTTGAAGAAACTGTAAAGTCTTTAGACTGACAAAGAATCTGCGGCTTAGAGCATTGCAATCAGAGTCTGGAGTACAAGAAATTGAAGAATATGCAAGGTGGATTGCTAATATAGGTGACGGAACAATTGGTGATTCGTGCGATGGTGAATGTGAGATCAACATTCCAGGAAAATTCTTACTCAAGTCGGTGGAGGATCCTATTTCTACGATTGTTGATAGCATATTCCCGGGGTTTCGTAATGGGATTCGAGACGTCAAATGTCTAAAAGATTGTGCAATTCTCGCTCCAACTTTGGACGTGGTAGATAACATCAATGAATACATGAATGAATTTAATACTGCAGAAGGAATGACGTATCTAAGCTGTGATTCGGTGTGCAAATCGGATTCCAATGTTGACATGCTTGCTGATCTACACACACCGGAGTTTTTAAATGGATTACGATGTTCTGGAGTGCCAAATCACTCATTGACTTTAAAAGTGGGATCACCCGTTATGCTATTGAGAAATATTGATCACTCATTGGGGTTGTGCAATGGTACAAGAATGATCATTTCAAAGTTAGCTAAACATGTTTTAGAAGCGCAGATATTGACTGGAACAACTGCTGGTACGAAGGTTTTAATACCAAGGATGTCCTTAACACCGTCAGATCCGAGATTGCCGTTTAAGTTTCAGAGAAAACAATTTCCGCTCATGTTGTCATATGCCATGACAATAAACAAAAGCCAGGGTCAAACATTGTCAAACGTCGGTTTATTCCTTAAGAGACCGGTATTTAATCATGGACAACTGTATGTAGCTGTGTCGAGGGTTAGTAATCCGAGCGGATTAAAAATGTTGATTTGTGATGAAACTTTGCAATCCAAAAATACGACTACAAATATCGTATTTAAAGAAGTTTTTAATAATGTGTAACAAAAATAGCAGTTCATACTATTACTTCTAACTTTTAGGCATTACGTATTACTTCTTAGATTTATGACCGTGCATCGCACGGGTGCAAATACTAGTATATAATCAATATCTCATGTATTATCTTGCATTTATATACTTTAAATTACCGATTTAAATAAACAAATTCAACATTTATTTACTTATACATGAACATCTTCTATATAATATTGCATTGATATACTTTGAAATACTTATTTAAAAATAAGTATTGGGCATTATCTTATTCTCGCAAAGCGCGTAAAAAAACTAGTTATATAATGCAATTGATGAATTGAGTTGGATCGATTGTATTTTTTTAATGTTATCATTGATTGAATTCGATCAAATAATTGTCCAAAATTAATAGTCAATGTGTAGATGTTCGCATTAAGTGCTGAAACTTTAGATATTTTAAATATCAGTGTTCAGTGAATTATATATGGGAATCATATTTAATTTTGAGTGAATTATTAATATTCATTACATTTTTCAATTGGTTTAATTTGTTTTCCATCTTTAAGCAAAATCTTCCTTACACATTCTATACATAATTTTACATCTTTATATATGTGTATTGTAATGAGGTCCTATAATTGTGAATAATGATGTGCTACAAAATCAATCATAATTAATTTCTTTTGAATCATTCATGCGTATTGCAAGAACATTTCCATATTTAATTACACAATTTTCCTTATAAATTGTGGCGATTCTATTCAATTTTTCATTTGTAAATATATAACTTTACACAACGTACTATATTTCCAGTAACATATATACACGCATTTTTTAAAAAAAATATTTTCAGTAACTTTACATTTTATAAATATAAAATATATAACCGAGATTAATATTTTTTTCATTTCGGCTAAACTTTTTTTTTTTTTGATATACTCGGCTAAACCTTATAATTACACAATCCTTATATTCCTAGTATAAAATAACATTTGGTGTAAAAATTATTAATTTACATATCGATTAATATTCTTTCCATTTCGACTAAACCTTATATTACTATCTCGTATTGCAAAACATTTTCCATCTTTAATTACAAAATTTTCCTTATAAATTATGGATACTAAATGATTCTATTTCATTATATATATATATATATATATATATATATATATATATATATATATATATATATATATATATATATATATATATATCTTTACATAACTATATTTCAATATCATATATATACATATTTTTTTAAATATTTTCAGTAATTTATTAAAGTGGGACGTGCGTTTTTAAAAAATGCTATTGCCGAAAATCGAACTTGATTTTTTTTTTTTTAAGTGGGACGCGCGTTTTTAGTCAAAACGACATCGTTTTTGCAACCATGTGCACACGGTTGCACATCATAATTTGTGGTACAACATGGAGTTGGGAGATTGAGTTTGATTTTAACTGAGTTTAACAGTATTGTATATGGAATTAGGCTTTATAATATTAGAATAGGAATTTTAATGTTATTGTAGTAGGAATAGAAAAATATGAAACAATATATTCTATTAGGGATTGTATTACACTATTTTACAATATTAGAATAAGAATTTTAACATAGAATTAATGTACGAATAAGAAAGTAAAAAACAATATATTAAAATTTGAGGATTTTGGGCGGGAAGTTAAAGTTTAGGATTTTGTTTTTATATATAGTATAGAGTATAGATAGATTATTATTATTATTATTATTATTATTATTATTATTATTATTATTATTATTATTATTACATTAAAATTTTTAATTTAGGCCAGACTAATCATTTATTTTATTGTATATAAAGAAAGGTTTCTAAGTGGGATGAGTTTGCACCATTTCTAGGTATCAAATATCGATGACCACCATTTTGATGGAGTACAGTTAAAAGGCCATTGTATTGTCCTAAGGGGACACCTACTCTACTATGGTCCTAAAACAATCATTGTTATAGCCTATTCACAGCACGGGGTATTTATACAAGATAAAGTCTCCTAACCACCCCTCTAGAATAGCGGGGTCGATTAGATCCGAGTTGGTCGCGCTTAGGTGAGACCGGGTCCATAGGTCGGCTGGGCCGAGCCCCCCCTCGACTGAGCCCACTATGCAGGAGCACGGGCATGGGCCGAGCTCCTCTACCCGAGCCCACCACGGTCGAGGCCTGGGCCGTGGTGCCTTGGGCCGAGGCCTTTGGTGCTTCACCTGGGGCCCCGGGTCCGCTCGGTATTTCCTTGCTCCGCTCCACCCGGGTCTGTTTGCTTCCATGTAATATATCCATCATTGAGAAAATACTGTTCATGTCAAAGAGTTAATTTCACTAGAGGTTCCTTATTTTTGTGTCAATTTCAAATTTAGTCACAGACCTTATTGTTTTTGTCATTTTACATCTTAGATTATTATTTTTTGAACACTTTTAGCCCTTCTCATGACTTTTCATGTTTTTAATAAGGGCATTTTTGTCTTTTCATATTTTTCTTTTGTTATTTTTCTAATAATTGGTTTAGAACTTTAGACAACCTCCGATTTTTAGTAACCATATTTCAACCGGTTTTTATTAAAGTCCTAAACCAATTAAACCGGTTGAAACCGAAAAAATAACAAAAGAAAAATATAAAGAGACAAAAATGCAGTTACTAAAAATATGAAAAGTCATGAGAGTGACTAAAAGTGTCCAAAAAACAATAGTCTCGGATGTTAAATAGCAAAAGTGATAGTTTGAAACTAAATTAAAAATTCCACAAAAGACAAAGGACCTCCGGTGGAATTAACTCTTATATCAAATTTCGTTACATATAATATCTCCAAATTAAATTAAGTTGAACAACTCTTCATGGTTAAATTAATTCATCGTAAATTAACCAATCTTAATAGAATGTTTAAAACATGTACTTGCTTGTTTGGTTCGCAGAAAATATTTTAAAGGAAGTGGAATTGAAATTCCATGAAAAAATTAAACAATTACTAGGAAGATGAATTCTATTGTTTGGTTGGTGGAAAAAGAATTACTAGGAATACTAATTCTATTGTTTGGTTAAATTTGGAATCATAAGGAATAATGAGTATAAAAATCTATATGTCCCCCTACAAATTAATAAATTAAGGGTTACGTTGAAAATAAGGGTAAAATAGTTAAACCATATCACTTTTTTTTCCTATCTTCCATGAAAAACAAAATCCTTGGTCCAACCTAAGGATTTTGTTTTCCTCAAATTTGAGGAATTCATTTTCCAATGGAAAATGAATTCTATGAACCAAACACAAAAAAAAAAAATAAATAAATAACATTTTCCTCCACTTTAAAGAAAATATTTTCCTTTGGAAAACATTTTCCATAAACCAAACATCCCCGGTGAAGAAACAAATTAAAATATATGATGAATATTTGAATAAGGAATAATTATTATGGAGTATTACTTAGCCATCATGATTAATTAGAGCATAGCTACTTAGCTAGAGCATTGCATGCATCAGTAGTAAAAAAAAAAAAAAGACTCTAATTTACTTAAAAAGGAAATAGTATTTGAACATGCAGGTAGGTAGCTAATAATCAAAGCGAGCATTCATCATCCCCAACCTATGGAGAGTGAATTTTGTTCAGTTCCTAGCTACTTACAATAATAATCCAAACCATCCATAATCTTATACATACATACATAGCAAAAGTATGAATTCAAATTCCATGCATGCATGCAGCTTAAAGTACGTAGCAGACATAGATAGATGACAGAGAGAGAGAGAGAGAGAGAGACGAAGACCTAAGTCCTGACCATGGTTGACACAATCCACTTTAATAGAAAAAGAAGAAGAAGAACCCAAGAGACCCCAAATATCTCCCAAGGGTTTCTTCTCTTTGGAAGGACAAACTCCATTCACTCAAATAATGGAGTTCATCACTTCATTTCTACCACATTCATAACAACAAACAAAATGCACTATCTCCTACACCTAGTACATACTTTTCCATGCCTAAAGCTCCCAAGCTTCAGTCCATGATCCAAAACAACCAAATATTAACAACCCCACCACCCTTAACCCTAAAGAAAGATGGGAATTTCTGTGAAATTTGCTAAATTTTGGAGGAACGTAACTAACAGACAAGAAGGTATCCTAGTCTAAGTTGTAAAATCCTAAGACTAGCAAAAACTCTGGGCATCCGACATGATTCCCATGATGATTTCCCTAGCTACTACTACGTACTCTAACTTATGATAACTACAACATCATGCTTATTATTATTATATTATTTCAAGGGAGTGATTAGTCTTCAAGATCAACGTTAAGGTGCTTTTGAAAACTGGGATTTTGATGCATGGTCCAATTTACAAGCTAAATTAAACTATGTTGGTTATTAATTAGGACCATTTCCATTGGCCCTTCTTAATGTCTTTTTTTTTTTTTTTTTGATTTTTTGTTTTCCCAAACAGTTTCCTTAGCTTTTCCGAAGCCTAAGTCTTTCTTGAAACCCAAAAGAAAAATGACAAGAAAAACATTACCAACCTGGCTGTACCACAAGCTAGAGTTGGTGATGTGATGATGCAATTTCTATCTCTTGAAGGAACCTTTCCTTGAAAGAGAAGAAAACTGATAACTTTTACTCCAAACTCTGAAAGGGTATGGTGCCCCTACGAGGGGATCCAGCCCTTGGGCGGGCCCGAATTTCCACATTCGGGCCGCCATTTACGACGAAGAGAGAAAGGTAGAAGATGTAACCATGGCAGGCCAAAGGTACTTCGATTGATCGATCAGATCATGATGAAGTAACTAAGTAGGTAGACGACGACGACTACTAAAGTTCATCTCTCTTGATGATAAGTAATGCCATCCTATTAGCGATGAGGCAGCGGTGCACGTAACGCCGCCATGGTCAAGCCTGTGGCACAGCAAAACAAACTGTCAAAGATGTTAGTACCCTTCGTACCACCTTCCAATTTTAGACAACACAATTAATACTATAGACCAAGGGTAATTCCGTAATTTCACACCCTTCACTTCGTAATATGTAAATTTCATTAATGAAAAATGAGCAATGTTACAAATTCCTCCCGTATTTTCCTTAAAAATGTCCCTCCTGAGATGAGGTGGCATCATCTCATTAGTAGCTTTTAGTTTTTTACTTAGTGGTAAGGTCAGTTAATTTATTGATACCCAATGAATGAAAGTCACGTCACGAGGGTAAAGTTTAGAGAGAGAAAATTCGGAAGGAAAAAAAGTATTTTTCATGAAAAATATCATGTGCATCAAAACTTGTACTGCTTCACATATATATTTTTGTAATAAATTTGTAACATTGAATTAATCAATTCCCTTATGAGTTAATTAAATTAAACATTTAAACATTTTAGTTGGGACCATAAATGGAGCTTGTCTGCATATACCAACATGATTTAATTTATGTGTTTTAATTAATTCATGGTAGGCCTGTACAGATAGATAAAGACTGGGGCCTAAGTTGGGTGACAATCTTTACTTAATTTGATTGCAATTACTATTATTATTGTTATTATTTCTTATAATTCCAACAAATTCAAATTAAATATATAATAGCAACTACTACCATTATTTTAAAAAAAAATGCAAATTAAAGTTGGGTGTAATAATGTACAAACCTGATTGCATTGGAGCTGTGTGAGCAAGAGAAATGGGGTTGGCAAAGTGCTGTGCAGGGTAACCGGCGGTGGTGTTAACGGTAGCCGAGTACGGAAAGAGGTGGTGAGGATACTGGACGCCGCCGTAGCCCTGGCTAGCTGCCGCCGTGTAGCCGGTGGTGGCTCCACCGTTTCCTTCTCCGAAGTTCAAGTAAGGATAGAAGGCGGCCGCGGCCGCCGCGCCGGATAACAGTCCACTTGCCCCGGTTCCATACATTGGAAACTGCCCGGTGACTCCTCCATACACACTGTAGTAACCCTGTACAAAGTAACCCATTTAAGACGTTAGAACACAATTCTTTTTTAGTGTCTCACTTGTATGAAATTGTCTAATATATTCTTATCCATAATATAATTAAGTTGGATCGAGTCGGGTCAATATAAAAATGTAATACTGTAATGCTAAGCATAGATAAAATGTTTGTTACTTATAAGAGGAGTGAAATACTTTTGAACATAAATATAATATTTTTATATTCTGATATAAAAAATATTACGGGTACATTTTTCATCAAAAGTATTATATTTTCCTTATAAGTAATGTTGGTAAATGTTTGTTACTTATAAGAAAAAATATAATCCTTTAAAATCAAAATGTAAATGTATTACATTTTTTTCTTCAAAAAGTATGTATTACACTTTCACAGTAATAAACACTTTATTCTTGATTAATGTTACATTTTCATCTTGACCCGACCTGTATCACATACAAGGATTTGTGAGATAGTCTCACACAAATTTTTACTTATTAAAAAAAAAATTTAGAACCCTTAAATTTCTTTCTATTTTATGGAAAAATAAAAATTATAATTATGCACAAATATACTGTAATTATTTTTTAGTTTACAATATATAATTAATAATATTTTAACAAGTAAAAATATACTCCGTATTTAGTTTATGATTAGCACACAGTAGAGTGTAGATAGTGGTATTTAAGAACAGACAAGTTATTGAGATTGTCGAGGGAAGCAGTTTGGTCTTGTTTAAATTGTAGTTACAGTAGAAAACAAAGTTGTTCAGATCGGAACTCTGAAGTAGTTGAGGTAACATATGACCAGTCAAATGAACAAAATCATGCATGCCACTAACTAAAAGTCAAAGATTCTTAACTTCCAAAGTTTGAAAACAAAAAATGGTCTTAATAATCAGCTTTGACCGAAAAATTACAGCTACTAGAAGACATTTTGGAAACCGTGCTGCAAACCAGTAAAGAATCATCTGAAATAAACTATACATACCCTTTTCTTGATAATACATTTTTTTAAAAAAGTGTCCACTTAGGGTTTTTACATTTGACTTGATTAATTTTTTTAAAAATCAAACCAGAAAGATATAAGTGTATATTTTAATTATTAGTCTGATATGATCTTTTAGTTGAGACGAAACACATTTTCCAATAACTAGTTGAGATCTGCCAGACTCTCGGCCATGTGCGATGGTCGTTTTGCTTTAAACCACATAATGGTTGTGTGTATTTGCATGATGAGAGAAGTGAAGGAGATGGGGAGATGAAGTACAAACCGTGGGGTAGGTGTAGTCTGGCGAGTACGAAGAGTACCTGGTTTAATGTCACAAAAGATGAGTAAACAAGAATACTACATTAGAATGTGAAGATGTATATATAGAGATATATGATTAATGTAAGTAGATATGATTAATGAGGTTGGGTGAGCAATGAGTTGGCAAGAGGACATATATACATACATATCCACTCTGGCAGAACAGATCAGAGTGTTATATATATATATATATATATATATATATATATATATATATAGGGTTAGGTTCCTAGATGAACAGCGTTTTTTGTGTGGTCAGTGTGAATTGCACCATTAGGTATGTATAAATGCACCATAAAGTCTCTGAAAGTACGTACACCATTATATGTGGTGCATTTTTTTTCGGTGTGTGGTGCATTTTGTGGCATTTCATTCTGATGCATTTTCGAACACTGTGTGGTGCATTTATAATCAGCTGAGAGCCAACCTTAACCCGCGAACTGTGAACTTGTGAAAGATTGCACCACAACTACTACATGATTGCATTGCTACGTCTCCCAGATATGGCTGGAGGACCTTTCGGTGCAACCATGTAGTAAGTACAGTGCAATCTTTCACAAGTTTGTAATTCGCCGCATAATGTTAATTTTCAACTGATTATGGACCTATAGATATATATACATTGTGGATGATAAAGGATATATTTATAAATTAAGAATGTTTAAAGAACGTTTTGATGTAATTAATATAATTAAAGAGTAATTAATTAGTGATATACATACATACATACATACCCATAGAGATTATAAGGAATGCCTTGTTGGATGGCATAATGGGAAAAGTTTGATGGAGAAGGAAAAGCTGCAGCAGCTCCGCCAAACCCTCCCTGAAAAGCACTCATTACCATAAAGTTCCTCCCCCCTCCTCCTCCTCCTGTTCATCATTATCACAATTAAACATAGTAAAAGACAAGACATTGTTAATTAGTCTGCTAATAATTAAGCTAAGGTTAATTAATGTTTTGTGTTTGTGTGAAATAATAATGAAAGATGATAGGTGGTGTATGTAGGGTAAATAAAAGCGAAAGTTGTCTCTCACACATGAGTGTGCTGTCGAGCTTTTTCTCTCAACCAAGACTACTTGTCACATGGCATGCCAGTGGATATGGGTTGTATATATATATATAGTTAGTACCTCCCAGAAAAGAAAAAAGAAAAAAGAAAAAAAAAAAGCAAAATTCTTATGGTCTCAGAGTCTTCATTCCACACAAACAAACCCTAGTTGCATACTTGAGGGGTTCAGTCCACTCAATCAAGAATATTCATTTTGCATGCTTAAATGGAACTAAGCACAATTACCATCCCACTAATCACTGAACTAATATAAGCAAGATTTGCTTTAATTTTCTTGCTTAGGATTAATTCATGGTGATTATTGAAAGTACTGATGATAATATATGATATTTAAGTTTATATATATATACCATGTTTATTAGGGGTTGAAGGCTTGGATCTCTGAACACCCAAGGAAGCAAGATTGCAGTTAGCCCTTCTGCCATCAATCACTGGTGCAGCGTCAACACAAGCTCTCATGGCTGCCTCTGGATCGCGAAAAGTTACCTGATTTCATTTGGAAACCCTTTCACCATCAATATAATCTTTAAGATTGCCAAAAATCAATCTTACATTCTGGGTTAGTTAGTTAGTTGTACAGATTGTTCTTCTATCTTTTAGTGTGTGTACTGTATGTGTATATATATATATATACATAACTAAGAATTGAAGGTAAGAAAAGTAAAGAAAGAACATACAAATCCATAGCCTTTGGATCTGGCAGTAGCCTTGTCAGTGATGACAACAGCCTCCAAGATTTCACCGAACTGTTCAAAGTAGTTCTTCATGGTGTCCTTGTGAGTCTCCCACGCAAGCCCACCAACAAACACCTTAGTGTATGTGGTGTCACCGAACTGCCCACTCATGTTATTGTTGCTGCTGCTCTTGTTATTAGATGCTGCTGGAACTGGGTTCATCTTCTCTCTCTCTCTCTCTCTCTCTCTACAGTAGCTATATATATATATATGCTAGTAGGTTAACCTTAGAAACAAAAAAGACAAGGTTGTTTGTTTACAACTTGTGCGCTAGCTAGCTAGCTGCTACTTTGATCTAAGAACTGAATGAATAAGATGATCGGTTAGAGGGATTGAGACAGTGGTCCAAACTGGGAAATTCAACTTGAATTGTATGGATCTCGAAGGGACTGGATTCTGGGTTGTGTTAATTTGGAGGGAGAAGGGGATGGAGAGTAGAGAGAAGGAGGGAAAGGGATGGGTGGAGAGAGAGAGAGAGGGAAAAACAGGAGGGAAGAGAAACCAAAAACCAGATGGATATAGAGAGAGAGAGAGAGAGAAACAGGAAAAGAATTATTATTATAGTAATAGAAAAAGAAGGAAAAGATGAAAAAAGGTGAGTCTCATAATACGGACATGAATTATATACATGCCGCCAGCCACGCCCCCACTTTCTTTACACACTGGCAATCCCCCAGTATCCTATCACGCGCCCTCCAACACCACGTGCTTCTCACTTCCCATCCAAATACATTTGCTTGCTTCTTTTTTTTTTTTTTTTTTTTTTTTTTTGCAAGCACCAAATACATTTGCTAAATTACCTATATTATGTATACAAGAGCAATGGGATTGAAACAATAACCATACTAGTTTAGTTTAGTGTTTTTATGGATCCTTACCCTAAGTTTCAACTCTAAATTTAAAGATCATTCACAATATTTTTATTTTAAAAATCAGTGGACAAGATAAATTGGGAGATGTGTTTCAATTGCATTATAAACACCTGTTTTTTTTTTTTTTTTTTTTTTTTTTTTTTTAACTTTAAGTTTCAATCCCAACACCTTGTGATCTGTTAGCAAAACAAAGTTTATGAACTATACATAAAATTCTTAACAAATTTAACCTTTAGAAACATTCCTAAGCGAATTTAGGATTTATTTCCAATGGCAGGCTGACTTCTTAGTACTGGTCGACAGGTTAATTCGCTTCCTCTCTCATTCCAGGATAGGGTGAGAAAGATGGTGCATAGCTTCTAACCTCTAGGACGCCAGTCTGGCTTCTTGCCTCACGGTGTGTTGTGAGGGCTGACCGCCTATAGGGTCTGATTGTCTGGCGATATTGACTGGGTGCCCGGAGCTAGGTATCCATCACTTATATTTATAGCTCTGAGTATGATCAATTTGTTTTCATTTTTCATCAAACTTAAATTTATAATTTAAGTAAGTCATTGTTTAGTATAGATAATATAATTATGGTCTACTTGATTATTCTTCTCAAAATGTTGAATCCCCAACTCCAAAGGCCCCACACCTATAAATATATTGAATGCCGCTATAATAGGTTTCTACTTAAATGTTATTCATACTAAACATTAAAACAACAACACACATATAGACGGTCAGAATAAATTAAATTGATCAATATAATCATCAACTAAATAATTGAATATTACATTCCTACAATATTACCTAAACACAAGTTAATATTGTATTTTTGCAATCTCACATTACCTTTTAAGATATAATAATCTTATTTAAGATAATTTCATATTTTATGAACCAAATGATGGTAAAAGTGTCAACAAACACGAATTTATATAATAAAATTCGATCACTCAATAAATTTAGAATGGTTTATATTGGTTTAAAGAAAAGAAGAGCAAAATGCGAGTGGGATAGAGGTGTGATGGGTCATGGGTGGTATGATGATGTTGGTCAATAGGGCGTTGCTTTATATTTTTGTGAAGTGCAGAAATGGGCGAAAGAGGGGTGATATTTACGAAACCTACCAAGTACACAATAATGTATTTTTCTTAGGGCAGACGCAATATACAGTTGGCACAAACGGAACGGGGACCAACTCTCCGTACCCTTTTACGTTGTTGAAAACGGTCAAACCTGCTATAATCTATTATTACTATTACTATTATTTTAATGCTAAGTTGCTAACGCTTTTTTTGTATTCATCCTCTTACATTTATTTTTGTCAAATTGTTATATACATACACACACACACACATCAAAACAACAATGTACTTGGTGTAAAGAGCATTTTCATCTTATTAAAAGACTGCAAGTATGTTCGCGCGTGTTTATCTCAATAGTTCGATAGATAGTATTTGGGATAAGAGATTAGTGTTCAAACAATGGCGCGCGGTAGTATAGACAAATTTCTTGTGATTTAACCTGTCTGTTGAGGCATTAAATCATCGTGATTTACATCATTCTAAATGCTCTGTCGGGCCATGGTGTGTGGGGCTATTGGGATTGGGGATTCAACATTTAGGAGAAGAAAAAAATGTTATGAATCTTATTTCAAATTAAAAAATATATTTTCAAAAACTAACAGTTCGTTGTTCTCAAAAAAAAAATAAAAAAAAATAACAGTTCGCAAATAGATTATTAATGTAATTACAATGTTAAAGGTTAAGTTAGTATTAATCTCCTCAGTGATAATTAAGGATACTCAATGCTATATGAAAAAAATTATATTAGCACGACGCTCTAATATTATTTTTTTCACAACCTATATCTTATTGTGTGTGTATAATTTAATTAATGAGATTTATATTTAAACTATTTATACTTAATTTTTATGTAATAGTTTCTGTAATTTATTTAAAATTTTTAGATAAGAATGCCATATGATTATTATGAATAGAAAAGATGGTAACGGTTTTGGAAATAGTAAAAGTACAACACATTACTCTATTTAAAAAAATATAGTAAATGTGCAATTACGCTATTAATTTAGATTTTTAATTTAGATGTAAGAGATGCATTCTTTAATTTGGTATTTGAGTAAGCAAAATGTTTTTATATAAGTTGCACAAAATTTATAATTTGAAAGTATTATTAAACATAAAATGTGGGATTTAAAAATTATAAGAAAGTGTTAAAGAAAAAAAGTTTTTTAAAAAAAAATTAATTTGACAAATGAATATTAAACAAGACATGTAAAATAAGACAGATAAAGAATGTAATGTATATATATTTTTAACTTATTAGTATAAGAGTTAATTTCATTTTTATCCTAGATTTATATGTGACAGTCTACTTTTATAGTCTTTTATTTTTTATTTTTTTATCAAAACATCCTCATTTGGTCATCCGTCAACAAAATCGTTGAAATATCGTGAAATACAAAGACATTTTGATCTTTTTAATACAAAGTAAGTTGACCCATTATATTTTTTTGTTTATTATTTAAAAAGTCATATTTGAAAATTAAAATGTTCTTGTATTTAACGATATTTAAACTGGTTGGTTGATAAATGACAAAAAAATGGATGCATGCCACAATAATACTAGAATCAAAAGTGGATGTTCCGATAAAAGGGACTAAAAGTTTATTATCACCTATAAATTTATGACAAAAAAATGGATGCATGCCACAATAATACTAGAATCAAAAGTGGATGTTCCGATAAAAGGGACTAAAAGTTTATTATCACCTATAAATTTATGACAAAAAATGGAATTAACTCTTAGGGTGTGTTTGATTCGCACATGAAAATCGGAATCGGAATGGGTATCAAATACTTGGTAATGATAATAGGTTTCGGTGAAAGTATTTTACATGTTTGATAGTAGGGTGGAATGGAATGATTAGGCTAAGGATGAATAATGGGATGAAACCCTTATAAAATAAGGGAATGAGTTTTTCCATTAATGGGGTATTCCAAACCCATAATAGTGTTTTAAAAACCAGTCAACCAAACAATAACAATCACTTCCATACTCATACCTGAGTGCTAAACCTGTCAACCAAACACAACCTTAGTATAATATATGAAGAAGTTAAAAGGTATATATGGATTATATCATAGCTATGCAATTCACAATATATCAAAATCTAGAATCATTATTAACTTTGCCAAGCTGGTACGATATGATATAACATTGGGCACTTTGTTTGGGATTTGGATGCCCCATCACAACACCAAAAATGCTTGACTCCTCCACTGAATTGGTTGCCTAACCACAAAGATTGCTCTCTTAGCTGCATCACCGAGAAATGTTGCTCTTTATTGGGAACACCCACCAAAGTTTAATCCATATTTTGTAGTGTGTGTGTTTTTTTAATACTATTTAGTCTATTATAATGTATTATCTATTCTGTGACCTCTCATTTGAGCGATCACAGCTATGCACTCGATCAAAAGGCTTTTGGCTGTGTGTGTTTTTAAAAAAATGTATAAATTTTTTTGAGCGAAAGTAAGAGTAAAATTTAACATCTTGTCATTAAAAAAGAATGACATTGGTATAAGAGAATAAAATTACGGCTATCATATTAGTTATGACTTTTAACATAGTGATACACGTTTAACCTAAATTATTAGAGAAAATCTTTGTCCAAAGAAATCTAACTACAACTTAAATTATAAAAAGTGACCCATATATCCACTACAATCAATTCTTGTTGCTATGTCAAATAGTAATAATTTAAAAGAATATAATATATGTGCTTGCACGAATTTAGCTCAATGAATCCGTAAGTAGTATTTGGACGAAAAGGCTAAAGTCACAATTACATTTGGTCCTATTGTAATTTACTTTCATATGTTTAATAGTATTTTTTTATTTAATAAATAAAGAATATTACTCGTGTTTATGTCAACAGACAAATTATAATAATAATCAGTCTGTACCCATTATTTGAACGAAAGATTAAATTAAAGCTTTGAATTTTGTTTTATGTATTATAAGTTATGAATATGAACATTATTGTGATTGGACTTTTATATATGTGTCTGTTTATTGATGAGTTTTGTGCTAATTAATGTTTGATCTTGACAAAAGAAAAAAAAAAGTTTTATGGCTAAAGTGTCATCCCGCACCTTGAACCATTTGTGATTATTCATCCCGCACCATAAACTGTAAAAAGTGATATTTCGAGCTATCAACCAAAATTTTTTTTTCACCTAGCACTTTTTATAGGTTGTCCGGTAATAACGATGACATGGCACCGGTTTCAACTGCTGATGTGGCCTTTTTATCTAGTCAACGAGTTGTTAGTGTCATCCCGCACCCTGAACCATTTGTGATTATTCATCCCGCACCATGAACTGTAAAAAGTGATATTTCGAGCCATCAACTAATTATTTTTTTTCACCTAGCACTTTTTATAGGTTGTCCGGTAATAACGATGACAAAGATGGAAGGTAGGCATTGGACGAATTTATATTTCAATTTTGACTGCATTGGCAGTTTACCACTAGTAGTTTGACTGCGTTATCAATGTCTATGTTTAATGGAATACATTGGCAATTTACCACTTGTAGTTTTACAAACATTACATTGGCAGTTTACAAACATCTTTGAAAAATAAAAAATATTGAAAAATCAAGAAACAAAAATAAGAAAAATATGGAGAAATTGGGAAAATGTACA